CAGAGAAGGGGGTCCTTGTTCTTATCTGGATGACGGGCTCGTCGCGCCGGTCAGCCAACTCCCTTTCCAGAGCACTGACCTTGCTCAGGAGTGCGTCGTAGTTGGGATGCTGGGATGTGTGGGCCGATGCGCGCCCTGTGGCTTCTCGGGCCTCCATGTCAGCGAGGCGCTTCTCCAAGCGGGCGATGATCTCGTCCCTTGGGTCCGTGTTGGCCGCAGCGCCACCCAGCGGGGGCTGGATCCGGGCCGCGTGGGCCAGGTTGATCTGATGACGCGCATCATCATCATTCAGTTTTCCCTTTCCTTTGTCTTGTCGGGGCCGATCCGTTGTCCGGGAAACGGACCCGAAGCTTTCCTTTGGCGACCCTGGCTCGTGGTTACCCAACCAATCCGCCACCTTTCCCGTAGGTACCCGACGGCTCGCGATGTCACCCAGCCTGTTGAAGGCCGAGATTTTACCGCGAGGTTGGGCCGGTGTATCCCGGGTAGGAGAGGCGGTATGGGAATGGGTGTCCACGGCGAGGACGCCTTCGTCGTTGCCGAAGAAGGTGACGCCTTGTGGCCGAGGCGGCGGTGGCGGCACCGTCGCGACTTCCCCAGTCACGGGAGTGTTGTTCTCCCCTGTCTTTACGACGAGGGCGCTGACCACGTTGGGGTCCTGGAGAGTGCTTGCGACGATGGCCGAGAGTGCGGCCGGGTTGATTTGGGGGGCAGCAGGGTGAGAAGCCTGTTGGCCCGAAGCGCGATCAGCATTGCGCCTGTCCTCGAGCCCGATGCGGGCGTCTGGGGCAGTCCTGTTGAGCTGGACGCGGAGGTCGGCCGCTGCGTGCTCGACCTCCTGAGCATTCTCATCCTGGATGATGAGATCATTGGGGACGTTGTCAGCAACGTTTCCCTGCCCTTCCTGGTTCAGAGGGGCGTTCCTACCGGTGTTCTTTGACCTAGTTCTTGTCATTCTGTTGCGTCTGGTAGCGACGAGGGGTACTCACTTGATCTGTTCTAGGCTCTCAATGAAAGCACCAAATGATAGAGTATTAATTCTAGAGAGAAGTGAGAGCTAGAGAGAGAAAGTGAGTAATTATATTTCTCAACTTGGAATCCCCTATAATTAGCCCCTTGGGGTCTATTTATAGGTAAAAATGTGGATTTGGGCCCCTAGCCTTGGGCTTAGGAGGCCCATTACAATAATCATGCCTTCTTTGGGCAAATAAGGCCACTAATGGGCTGAGTACAACACTTAGTACATAAAATAGGAAAATACATTCTGTCCGGGCGAAGTTCGGACGATGCGGTCCATGGACGATGCGGTCCATGGACGATGCGGTCCATGGACGAGGCGGTCCATGGACGATGCCGTCAATAAATCAGGCGATATCTTCTTTCTTGGACGCTACATGCCTCTGGCCGATGCGGGTGTCCCGCTGGTGTCTTTTGGGCCATTGAGTATGTGGGCTATGGGGTCCAGGCCCATATACTCTATCAATAACATTTTAGGAGTAAATGTTAGGAATTTAGAGTAATCTATAACTATATTTAATTATTATGGACTCTACATAAAAATTCACTATAACATTTCTAATTTTAATCCTCTAGAAAATTTCTATCTTTTTTTACATAGATTATTGTAGATAAATGCATCACTATTTAATATTTTAGATAGAGTTCTTCTTTTCATTCTTCATATAGAAAGGTTGACATGACATCTAGCTGATTAATTTCCTATTTCTTCTAGGCCGCAAGAGCTATGAGTGTTTTAACTATGTCCATCCAGGCAATTGGGGCAATTGTCTCCGTGTAGTTGACTCCTGATATTTGAGCATATCCCTTTGCAACCAGCCTTGTCTTATGCTTTTAAATCGATACACCAGGTTCCAACTTCGTTTTGAACACCAATTTGACTCCAATAAGTTCTTTGTTACATGGAAGAACCACCAACTTCAAAGTATCATTTTTGTGTCATTTAATATCATACTCCATTATTTTAATCCAGAGTTTCTCTTTGGAGAACTCTCTCCAGATGTGTGGCTCCACGGAACATAAGTTGCATGTTTCCTAAATATTAGTGGTTTCATGCTAAAATAGTTCTAAATTTCCCATATCCTTGAAACTCTCCTTAAAAATATCTCAAACTTTTTTATAGTGGTAGCACAAACTATTCTTGAGAAAATAGCATTACAACGAGATTATCAAAGAAGATAGAGAGTTTTAGCGTTTTGTTGCTTGAGTTGTTTCATAACTTGAAAATTGATGCACCTTCAACCCCCTTTTCAGGTGTTGTGATGGCTTCTTCAACAATATCTCAAAGATAATGTGATTTAAGACAAATTTTCATACGGACACTCCAGTAGTAGTAGGTTTCTCCATTGAACATCTGAGTCGATACCAAGAAGCTTGATGATGTGATATAGTCTATTTAAGATCGAAGCTTTAATACCACCGTTTTTATAAAATATACTATGTAAGTCATTGATTGTGTATGAATATGGTAAGCAATTTCAGTGAGGTGTAATGTCTGTGTATTGTCTTGAATAGAAGACAATGTTTGATAGAGCTCTTATTTCTAGAAAACTTGAATTATATTGATTTTGCTTGGTGAATAAATGAGTACAAAGATCTTATTTATAAACGCAGAGAATCTTTCTAGATCCTTATCAAATGATACGAATCTAGAGTTCCTATAACTAGCTCTAGTTATCTAGATTCTACACAATAATTCTCTAGTAAAGAATTCTTTAGAGCTTTTGTATTTTTAATTATGTAGAACATTTCTATTTTTCTCTACATATAATTATTTTAAATATATGCATCACTATTTAATAAATTAGAATTTATATCTCTTTGGAATACAAGAGTTCTCTTGCTTTATACTTCCAATAATTAATACATCACTAGATCAACCAGAGTTGTCGTTCCATCATTTTTTTTTTTGGAAATTTATTCATAACAAAAAAGTACAATGCAAGAAGCTAAATAAAAGTAAAAAAGTACAGAGAAGAAAATATAGAGTAAAAAACAAAAAAAGAATTAGACCTTAGGGAAATCTCTGGATTGCGATCTAGTCCTCATGTTATGTTTCATTTTGTTTTGCTGAGATTTCATGTAAAGCTTGAGTTGAGTGTTCAGGTTTTCTGTTGGCGGATAGTTTTCTGAGGTGACAAACTTTGATTTATGGCAAATCCTTCTATTGAATTTGGAGTTCCCAATTTCTTCCTATTTTGATATATAAGGGTGATCGCGACGATCATTTTCAGTTGCATGTCCTAGAAAATCGTCTCAGAAGAAAGACTTGTCCGTTTTTGGATTGTCCTGAAAAACAATTTTCTAACTTTTTATTTTCTTACTTTATCCCTTTATCTATATCACTCCATCCTTTATTAACAAGTCTAATTAAAGGGTAAGCTTAGTTTTTACTTTTTTTAAAAAGGAAATTGATATAGATAATTTATAATTTATATAATATAGGAACACTTATTCACAAACTTTGTCTTTTATTTTCCTAAAATTGGTGTCAAACTCACATATACCTTATGTTATGAGATGGAGATAGTATGATGTATTGTTTCTACTCTTTTATACTCTGTTAGCCGTATAATGTATTGTTTTACTATTTGCGTCTGATTAACTTTGGGACATAAGATGGTGAATTCACTAGTAGAAAACTGGCTTACAGTGACACTTTTATAGTGACACTTTTTGATTTAATGTCACTAGTAACATAAAAGTGTCACTGTTTTCTAACACAAATGTATCAACGACACTTAATGACACTCAAACATTTTTACGGAGTAAAATTTAAAGCTCGCGTAAGTATTTGGGCCGCGGGCCTGCGAAGTTTAATACTGAGTATACATATTACAGAGTAATAAGACTTCGGTACTTAGGCTTTTCTTTCTCCCTCAAGATTGCCCTTTTCTCTTAGCCCTAGCTTCTCAATCGATGAAGAGACCCCTCACAGGATGAAGACGATGCCGTTGCTGCTCCCGACGACTTCGACGTAGACGCCATGGCCGCTGCTCCAGACGACTTTCAGAGAGGTCTCCACTGCCCAATACAGTATTCCTGGTGGCGAATCGGCGATTATTCCTGGGCTCCTAGCAGCGACTCATCGAGTATTTCTGGAAGAGTTGAAGCATGGGACTATAGGAGAGGCAGCGGGCGGGTGCGGGCCAATGGGTTTGCGTTTCTCAATGGCCTCTAAAGAAAGCCAGTTCCATATGTTTATTCATTTTGAAAACCATTTTCCTTTTCTGATACTAAAAGGTATTCATCAATTAGCTCCTTGTGAGTTCTTATATGGAAAAATATTCATTATGAGTAATTAATCTTTTTTAATGCAAAGAGAGGTTTTTTATAAGTTAGTTTAGCACTTTAGCCCGAGAATACTAGTGATGAACGGTTAGTAGCAAATGCTACTACCGAGGTAGCTGCTTTGGTTTTTCATCTGCCTTGTTTAAAAGGCCACTTAGTGTGGCTAAAACTCAGTAGCAGTGTTGTTTATAGTTTCTCTCTTTGTTTCTAGTTTTTTCCACTTTTTTTGAATTGTTTGTAGTTTGCTTTATGATAGGTTGTTGAGTGGATGTGTAGTACTTTTACCCCAGTTCACCCGTTTGCTTGCTGGACTGAAAAAAACTCCATAGTTTATTTTTCTTGCTTCAGAATTGTTACTATTTAGAATTATTGCTTGCTGGGATTATTGTTCTGAGAATATGAATCTGCATATCATATGGGGGGTTTTCTTTTTACATTTATAATTTGCATAACACTACTAGTTCTGTTTATTTACCAAACAATTATTATACTTTTGGAAAAAAGAATATTGAATCAAACTTCTGAATTTCAGGTGGCAGAAACTAACTACTCAACCATTTCTCATTATCCAATCACATATTGAGCTTAGAGGACTCAACTTACTCTGCCAAAAGGGACAACTTGCAAAGTCATATATCTAAACTCCAACTTTCAGTGTGAATGCAGGTCATATTAATTATATATATAAGTAATAGAGGTGTGGTAGACTCAAATGATCTCCCGTTGAATGTCTCACGTGAAATACTTCAAGAGAGTCGTATTGTGAGTGTATTTCAGTTTAGACCTGAAATTGGAATTGCTACATATATTATTATTATTATTATTATTATTACTTTTGTCCTAGTTTTTGGGCTGTGACATTCCTCTGCTTTGGAAAAGGTTCGCATTATGAGGAAACGTTTGGTGAGGAAAGCTTTTGAGATGATCCAAGGCATAGCCTTGAGTGATAATAGAGATGTAAGTTACTTTCCGTCTAAATGTCTAATGTTTTCCATCTAAACTATCAAGACTCCTAAACGCTGGAATGTTTGCATAGCCCTGTGTTGTTTGCAACATAATTTCTAGCACAGATAACTGTCTTGCCTTTTCCCTAACTTTTGCTTTTTATTTCACTTCACTACTCACACATTCTCATGTACAGGACTATGAGAAGTTCTATGAAAATTTTGGCAAGCACCTAAAAATAGGTTGCATCGAAGATCGTGAGAACCACAAGCGCATTGCCCCATTGCTAAGATTTTTCTCTTCACAAAGTGAGGAAGACATGATCAGCCTGGATGAATATGTTGAGAACATGAAGCCAGACCAGAAGGAAATATATTTTATTGCTTCTGATAGTGTAGCAAGCGCAAAGAACACTCCCTTCCTTGAAAAGCTTCTTGAGAAAGATCTTGAAGTATGCTATTGTTTAAACATGTTCAGTTGGGCTCATATAGTCAAACGTATCGAAATCACTTCTTTAGCACCAATTTTTGTGTCCTTGATGTAGGTACTCTTTTTAGTTGATCCCATTGATGAGGTTGCTATCCAGAATCTCAAATCCTACAAAGAAAAAGAGTTTGTTGATATTAGCAAAGAAGATCTTGATCTGGGTTAGTTAGCCTGAAGCAATCTGTTTTTGTTAGCAATTGAACTTTAATTAAATTACAAAATATATTGTCGCTGTTCTTATGTTTGATAAATAATGAGCTTGCCTTAGATTTCTGTAATCTATGCTACTGACATTTTTGAACATAGACAGGTTCTAATTTGCAGCTAGTAAGTTCATAATGCATTAATGCCCATTTAATTCAATTGTTAAACTGTTTTTATATGCACTTTTAACCCTTGTATTTGATTGTTGTTTGATGATTTTTGTATTCAATAAGTTCATCTAAAATATAAGAAAACATATTCAACGTAATAATATATTCTGATCTTAGGAAATGTGTTTTGTGACAGAGTGATGGTGAAATGGTAGTAGGAAACTCCCTTAGTGAAGCGGTGTCAAAGGGAAACAACATTTTCAACGAGATTCTGCTGCGGTCATGTCTCTTTTCTTCTACGTGAAACTTCTTCGCACCAAATCTGCTAGTGAAACGAATCTGGTGAAGGTATGATGGCGACGAGAGTGTGAAGCTGTTCCAATGAGGTCAAATCTTGCGGCAGAATAGGAGTTAGCTGGGTTCCTCTCGACTTCACTCCAGCCCAAGCTAACTGACGGACTGACCAAGTTGTTAACTCCTCGCCTTCTCCTTATGGTCAGGGTTCCAAGCAATGGATGGAGGATATAACCGGTATTTTCTTGTCCGAATCCTCTATCTACTCGATTAACGCCCATAATTAATTTTAATTCTAACTTTTTTTTTATCTAAAAGCTTTTATATGATTGGTTATACTTTTTATGCCATAAAACTGTCAGGAGCATTAACGTATTGTGAGGCAGCAACAATAGATTTTGATGGGCTTTAGCTACATGAAAGACATGGTGTAGTGGCTGTCTGTAAGTGTATATCACTTTCATCTATTTGATTGTCTTTTAATTCAATGTTTTGATTAAGAGTTCATTCTTTGTAGTTGCATTCAATTGTGGAACTGGTTTAATTACTATATAGCAGATGTTGATATAATGATATTGATTTTATTTATTTACTAAATAGTTGTTGAGTTACCTTCCTGTAGGTTATACAACAGCTGATGACCTAGCAGGAATAGGTGAGGACGAGTCCGACGACCTGTTATCAGTTCAGTGTTACATTTTCAATAAATCTAGTTAGATTTTTAATTTGAGAACTGTTTAACTTATTTTATGTTCTGAAAACTGCTAATATTAACATCACACTTGCTTTTGTGGTGTGAAGCCCATCAACCACCTTGCTTTCACCATTTTCACCTCTTTATCAATGTATATTATCTCTAATTTGTCATAGCTTTCACCATTTTCATAAGGGAGAGTGATGGTGTAGATTATATGTTTCCGTAAGGAAAACTGATTTTTTACAACTCTCTTTTACAGGAGGAAAGTCTATTGTTCGTTTGGACATTAAGTCCTGGAATAGTTGAACATAACACAGGAAGAAGCTGGAAGAGATGGTTAGGAGTGTGTAGATGGAAAATCTTCAATTCCTTCCAGAAGCAGAAGTATACACTTAGTCATTTTGTTAGTAATTTTAGTTGTTGTGCTCGACTGCAAGTAAAGTGTGTTTGTAATTGTTTCACTTGGATAAATTATGAAGTTGTAATTTTAGAATACTTTGTATTACAATTTTTATCTATAAATGAATATGTTTGTATGGTATTTCTATTATTTATCTATATTTACCTTGTGAGATCATTAATTAGTATGTATGTGTGTACAGTGTATATATATAGATATGATACTAGTGTATCATTTAAATATGTGATATGAAGGTATCGTTAAGAATTCCAATACAAATGTATCATTATATTTTATGATACTATAGTGTCACAATTTCCTGACACTTTTACCGTGACACTAAATTTAGTGTCACAACTCCCACCATTCGTTGACACTTTTTAAGTGTCACTAAATTTTTTAGTGACACTAATTTAGTGTCACTATAGAGCATTTTTCTAGTAGTGATTGGTAATGATGGACAATCTACCCGAGGGGTATCTTATCCGAGGGGTTATTGCGGGAATAACTAGAGAGAAGTCAGAGCAAATAGGAGGAGAGAGAGTCGATTTATTAAATGAACTCAGCGTGTGAGATCTCCGATCGTTTACAAGGAGAAATGGGCTGCTATTTATAGCAGCAATAAATGCGATGAGAGTACACGTGTCAGTAATCCAACGGCCGAGGGGCCACATCAATCGGGTGGCACCGGCAGAGGCATGTTCACCGCATTGAATGCGGTGGGTGGATGTGACGCCGCATTGAATGCGGTGGTTGGCTGTCTGTAAAGAGAATCTTCGATGATTGAGTCTATTAGCCGAAGGCTCCTCACATAGCCGAGGGCTCAACAGTGCCGAAGGCCCCTGTTTTCCGCCGTTTTCCTCCCAGTGGCCTCGTATGCCCAGAAAAGGCTATACTGTGAGTTTTGGAGCCTTCGGCCAAGGAGGCCGAAGGCACCCTAGTGTGTATTCTGGGCTCCTTCGAGGCTTGGGCCGCTGCACTTGGGCCTGAGATGTTCCCTGGGCTCAGTGGGCTTATGTATGAGGAGTAGGAGTCTATGAGTCGGGGGTTCCTGGGCTATATACTCCATCAGGTAATTTTTTATCAGGGAACAGAAAGCTTATATTAATCAGAGGGAGGAGGGAACGTTACATGGGGTTGCTTCGCGCACCCCCAATATTACTTAGGCTATGTTTGGCACAACTAGCTAGAACTGGAGGCTAAAGTCTGAATTAGAGACTATTGTCTGAATAAGAGACTATTGTCTGGAGCTGAACTTTAAAGTGCTGAAACTGAAATACTAGCTGAATGAAGTAGACCTGTTTGGTAAAAATAGTTGAAACTGTGACTGAAAAAATTAAAATTACGATAAAGGACATATAATATATTGATTGAAATTTGTATAATTAATGTAATAGTACTGATATTTTTATATTTTAATAAATATTGGTATATTACTATTGTAGTTTTTTTAAATAATAATGGGTTTCTGAAAAATTAAGAATGATGAAGGGTTTGAATAGAGAATAGGGGCATAACATGGCAGCAAGAATGAGATTAATGTCTCAAGAATTCAAATCGGTAAACACATGAGCTTCAGAGGTGATAAAGCTTGACAAAGATAATTAACACCCTTGTTAGTGATGCCTCTACAGCGTAGTCATATACAAATAATTTTGAGTGATAAGGTTGAACGAAGACTTTTGCAGGGATAAGGATAATTTAGGCATCGAAGGGTTTAAAGCAGTAGGCTGAATAGAAACGTTAGCCTCCGTAACGTTTGTAATCAGACCAATATTTTTAGCTTCAGCTTGGTTCAGCCATTCCTCCAAACAGGGTTAGTTACATAATTAATGACTGAAATTAAGAAATTTCAGCCCTTTATGAGCTGAATGTGCATGCCAAACATAGCCTAAGTAATATTGGGGGTGCGCGAAGCAACCCCATGTAACTCTAATTAGACCGGTTTTTCCTCCCAATGTTTTAATTAAACTAAAAAATTCGCTTAAGCGTAGGAGGCTAGGTGCTCATTGCTCACAGGACACTCTAGTTATTTAGTTACTTCTAAAATTGATCGTTTATCCATTAACTTGCAGTCATGTGACAAACTACTCTTTTTCTTTCAAAAGTTTAAAATTTTTCCTGTTTAGATTGGTTTTCGTAAAAAATATATCAAATTAAATAAGTTTATACAATCTTTAATTTCATGCGACATCATATTTATATGAAATTTTTTGAACAAAATTTAGTTTCGGTATCATGTTTTAGTCTGGTTTGATAAACATATGATATGGTCTAATCTATTTATGTCTGGTTTATTTAAATTTAATTGCTTTGGGAGTAAAACTAAATCAATTAAAAACACATTGGCGTAATCACATGACATTGATCGAGTTGAAATGATGGGGTCCTCCTATTTTGAAATAAGTCAAAGAATTATAAATTATACGGGTGATATGCTTTGGAACAGTTACATGTTTTGCTAACTCTGACACTGTAGTCAGTGGCGCAACTAGGGAGGGGCTAACCTAGGCCCCCAGCTCACCCCCAAATTAAAAAAATACCTATATTTTTCAGTGTAAAAAATTTCGTGTAAATTTATTCCCAAAAATATTCTTTGTACCAACTTAGTCCGGCCCAGTGCCCTGATTCCGCCCTTGACTGTAATGTAGCTATTTTAGTTGTACATTATGGTTAGGTTTTGAAATTAAAGTTGTTCAATACAGCCGTATTTTTAAACTGGGTGGTACTATATCATACCAATATCAAGCCATGTCATTTTTTAAATTCTCCAAAAATTACAAAAAAAAAAAAAAAACTTAACATGAAACAAATTAGGAATTTCTATTCATAATTATTCATCAAAGTTTTGCCATAATCTAATACTCGGTACTTTACATGCATGTTAGATAAAGTAAAATATATTAATATACTTATATAATGACACATATAATCATGTTTAAATTAAAATAAAAAAAGACGATTTTAACAAAAAGTTACACAACCAAATAGAAGGCCGACTGTATGTTTTTTATGGAAGCTACGACCAAATTCATTTAGGCTAAAGGGTCAAATAGGTACATGAACTAACCTAAAGTATTCAATTAGCCTCTTATGTAGGAGTTTCTGCCCGGACGTCGCCAATTGGGGCGGTTCCCGGTGGAATTTTTTGATGAATTTTTTTGAGCATCTTCTTCATTAAGTCTAGTGTACCCAGACCAAATTTCAGCTAAAAATTTAACCGGAAAGGCAGTCGAATGATTTTCTGAAAAATTAAACAGCGCAGTACATTTCGGAAAATAATTCGACTGCCTTCCCGGTTGAATTTTTAGCTGAAATTTGGTATGGGTAAACTAGAATTAATGAAGAAGATGCTCAAAAAATTTCATCAAAAAATTCCACCGGGAACCGCCCCAATTGGCGACGTCCAGACAGAATTTAAACATACAGTAGGATCTTTGTCCAAGCTTGGAGAAAGATGGGCGCGCCTAGCACTATTGAGAGTGCGCGGAGATCGTCCGATTAGTTATCAAGTAGGATGTTTTCTTTTGGACTGAAATTTACTGGTTTGGTCTGGTTTGTTTAAGTCTGGTCTGGTTTGGTAAACGTCTGGTCTCTGTGTATTTTATAACTATCCAAGTCTGTTCTGGTCTGGTCTGGTCTGGTCTATTTAAGTCTGGTCTGATCTGATCTGGTCTTGACTGAAAACAGTCCAAAAGAAAACATAAGGTACTAGGTATTATACGCCAAAGAAGTACCGCCCTTCAAATGGTTCGTTTTCTTGTAATGAGCTTTTCTCAGTATATACTATATGGGCGTAGCCTAGCTCTCTAATTAGCGACTATTCTGTAAAAATGTAAAATCGACCAAAAGTAGCACAACCTTTCAAAATTAATCATATTCGTAGTTTCGTACTAATTTACCGGCTGACCCTGTATTTATATGAGTTACTTTATCGATGTATTTACTGTGTATTTTGTAGTTCTTATATCAGGTTTTGTATACACTGGCTCCTCTTTAAGGTTAGTAGTAGACTGGAGACGATAAACGGATTTGACACAACAATCACCCGTCATATAGATCATCATCCTTCTAACTAGCTCCGTAATAACTAGCTAAAATGGTCTGTCATTCTCACAAACCTAACACCAAATAGTTTTAATAAGTGTATATAAATATGTAGGATAGAGGTATTTGTAAGTTGTCTTCATAGAAATTCATTACTAATCATTAGATTATACGTAGTATATGTGTTGGCATAAATAGGAGAATTCTTGGTTTAACTTGTAATCTTGTATCATGAGAAGTTTCTTATAACAGTAAAAAATTATTTTCCTTTCAAAAGCTCCCTTCCAAAACCAGCTTTTATGTCATAAATAAAAACTGTTAGATATAGTATTTTCTAAAAGCGCATATGCTAAGCAATTTTGTTGGGTTCACGTATACTAGCATTGTTAACTTGTTAAGTTGTACCATTCCTCTCCACCCCCACCCCCACCCCCTCTTGGTCATGAGTTTGTTACTGTGAGATTATAAATCATTATTCAATTTTCTTTAATGTGACAGTAAAGCTGAACTTGAATTTTCTCATATCGTATAAGAAACTTCAATATGGAGCTGAAAGAATGTAGCAACAGAAGAGAGGCAGACTGTTCAGTAGTCATGATTGATGATGATGATATTCCTGAAGGGGTTTGGATGGAGATATTTTCAAGACTGCCTTTGAGAACAAAAATCCAGCTAAGTTGTGTTTCGAAGCGTTGGCATTCTCTGATTTCCGAGACATACATGAGTGTACTGCCACCATGGGATCTGCTATTCCGTCACAAGAAAGAAGATCAATGTATACATGCTTATCATGTCCTTGGTAAATTTACAGGTCTTTATATAGTTTCGAAAAAGGGCCTTGAGTTATCATCTCCAGGTTCTTCATTAAACTTTCTTACACATGTACGACGTGGATATTACCCCCTTCGAGTTTTGGGATCAAGCAATGGGCTAATTTTGTGTTGTAAGCGTGTGCATAGGCAAACTGATTACTATGTTTGTAATACATTAACCGCCCGATGGTTATCACTCCCTAAAGCCCTATGTACTGAAAATCACGTAAATGTTGGTTTGAGTAGCCAGGATGGTGGAGGCTACAAGGTGGTTCGAATCATAAGGCACAGACAAATGTCAAACATACTTGATGTGGAAGTCTTTTCTTCAGATACTGGAAAATGGAAGAGTTTGAAAGTGTCGTGTCCTAGATATATTCGTATGATGAGCTATTACCGAGCTGAGCTGTTCCGTGGTGTTTTGCATTGGATTGCATATCCTGATTTAGTTGTAGCTTACGATCCAACCCGCAATTTAGGCGAGTGCCGCTTGATTGACTTGCCCAAATCTGAAGGTTATGAGTCCTTTGGAAAACAGGTGCTTGGTACGTGTGTTGGTCAACTGCGGTATTTTCGTGTTGAACGAACTACAACTGTCAAGATCCAGCAACTGGAAGGACTACCAATGCCATGTAATGGACATGACCGGTACTTGTCTTCATGGACACTTGTGGACTATGATACTGGAAAGTGGTCTTTGGATTTCAGAACAAAAGTGAAGGACCTTCATCGGAGTGCACTCCCGCTAGCTTTCCATCCCTTTGATTTGCATAGAGTTTACATGAAGTGTGGCCGTAATATTGCTTCATACAACTATCGATCACAAAAATTCATGTTTATCCCCACTCAAATCAATTATGGGTCTCACATTGGGCGTTAAGCTGTCTTTCTGTTTGTCCTCCCACCTTCACCGACCCCTCTTCCACAACCAACATGGAAGCCTAATTAGTAATTTTCTTTCATACGAAGTATATATTGTGGCTTCCATGTCAAATTGGACAGTGCTGTTCACTTATTTTCCCAATATGCAAGCCATTGGAGTTTTGGCACCATGCTTATATGTCAAGTAGATAAGGGGATGTGGAGTCCATGAGCCCTTGTACATTGGGGGGTAATGTTTGTACAAGCAGAAAGTGCTACTTGGACTAAGTGTTTGAATTTATATATGTGACTGATTTTATTTAATATTGTGGATGATTTTTACAAAATGCACTTCATTCGAAATATTTGAAATGTTAATGTTATGTGCAAACTGATTTCAAACATGAAAGTTTTTAAGTTCTTTGTTTTAGTCTGAGTTTTCAAATTTTTTATTGAAAATTTGTTTTACATCAATATAGTTGTGTCCACCAACACATCGGCACCCACAATTCAGCAACAAAATGGTGTTGTGGAGTCTTATGAAGCACCAGAAATTCTACGGAAAGAGCTCGTCCATTTAGGAAATTCTTTGGAAATTTACTAGGAACTTTTGAAAAACTTATTGTTCTATTAGTAATGGTTTTTGTGTTGACTTTCCCCACGCCTCCCACATTTTCGAATGACAATGGTAAATTGCAAACACGAAAAAACTTCTTGGTGTTTATTGTTGTTTATTGCGCTTTATGTTTTCAAGCTAATATACCTATGATTCACTCTTTGGAACAAATATCAACTAAATGCACATGTCGATTATAAATTATTTGTCTTCATGAAAAGCTAACCCATATAACACTTCATAGATCCAAGTTTCTCAGAGTTTTGTTATTGATCGTTTGAAAGATTACAAGTTACAACAAAAAAAACAGTTCTTAATCACAGACTGTTTTGATCCATGTATTAATAGGCAACTAAATATTGCTAAATGGGTTGTTTGGCTTGTGCAAGCATCTGAACTACCTCCCTCATGGTGGGCCGCTCCACACTGTGCTCTTCCACACACAGAATTGCTACAAACAAAACTTGCATTGCTTCTTGAATTGGAACATTCTTAAGCCTTTCATCTATGATCTTCACAACCCCTTCTTTGCTCCTATTTGTTTGCATATTCACCCACTGAACAATGTCCATTCCTTCCTCCCCAAAATCGCCGATAGGCTTTCGCCCCGTTATCAACTCCAAAAGCACCACCCCAAAACTATACACATCGCTCTTCTCATCCACTCTTAGTGTATATGCATACTCTGCATTACAAAGTGAAGTTATTATGACGGGCCAGACCTCCTAGCTTTTGACATATTTTATACACGAAATCCAGTTGATTAGAATTTTGTCATGTGTTGTTGTAGAAACCGTCATTCATAATAAAACAAATGATGTCTAGTACAATCTTAAACGTCAAAACTCATGTCCTTTATAGCAAAAATACTAGATTCTAATCATAGAGGATTTTCTTATGACAGATTTAAAAAGATTTCGCAAATGTACATTTGGGGTATTATTTTTGAAAAATATATGGTTAAAGTTGTAATAATAGTATGTATACCTGGAGCAATGTAGCCATAAGAGCCGGCAATTGCAGACATGCACTCCGAGGCATCGCTGTCCTCAAAGAACTTGGCTAGTCCAAAATCAGCAACATGAGCTTCATAATCTGAATCCAGCAAGATGTTGTTTGACTTTACGTCCCGGTGTATTATAAGAGGTGAGCAATCATGGTGCAAGTAAGCCAGTCCTTTTGCAGATTCTAAGGCAATTTTCAGCCTGGTTTCCCACTTCAGATATCCTCCTCCATTACTCTTTCCATGGATGGCTTCTCCTAAGCTTCCATTCTGCATGTACTCATATACCAGCAAATTTGTTTCCTCATTTGAGCAGAACGCCAGCAGCCTTACAATGTACCTGTGAAGCCATCCACACCATTGAAATGTAAATATACAAACTCAAATATTAAGTTTTGCACCACTGCATCTTTTTTAAGATAGAACCTCAAATCCTAATATGATGCTATAGTAAATTAACTCAAATGGTCATCTCGACTCGACTACGACTTATAAATAGCATACAGATTTCAAGATTAGCATGCTATCAATCAATGACGCAGCATTCATCTTGAGAGGACATTTCAAGTCAGTTCATACTGATAACATAAATATTTAAACACATGTAAGGTTCGAAATCTTAATAGTACCTATGACGAATTCTGCCCAAAGTTTGAATCTCTGCTGACAGGCCGTTATCATGCGAGCCTTTGCTGATTCCCAGTTTCTTCACAGCTATATGTTCTCCGTTCGCCATTATTCCTCTATACACCACTCCTGCTCCTCCTTGCCCAATTATATTGGTTTCCTTCAAGCATCCTAAAATATCCTCACTTCCAAATGTCAGGTTCTGAAAAGACGTCAGCTTCCACGGCTTAGATACATTATTTCCCACATCCCGTGTCTTGATCAGAGCAAGTATGGCAAAAATGAGACATGCCAATAATAGCCCCATCACACATATCAGCTTATATTTTGCTGAGAATTCGGATTTATCACTTTGTGCATTGACGTACGACTTTGAAAATGATGATGCTGAATTGCATGGACGTAGGTAGGATGCACATAGGTAAGGGTTGCCAGTGAAGGACGTGATGTTGAAAAGTAAGTACTGTCCAGTTTCAGGAACTGAACCAGTGAAGTTATTGAAGGAGAAATCTGCTGAGGTTAGGCTCTTCATGGATCCAATCTCTTCGGGCAAGGAATGTTCTAACTGGTTCCAAGAAACGTTGAGGTAATTAAGGATGCGAAATTGGGAAATTTCAACCGGGATATGACCAGAGAGGTTATTCTGGCTCAAATCAAGGTAAGTAAGTGAGGGGCAATGACTGAGTGCTGCTGGAATCCTACCAGAGAGCTTGTTTTTGCTCATATCCAACTTTACCATTCCCATGAGGTTACCTATTTCGGAAGGAATCTCGCCCGAGAATCTGTTCCCATTAAGCAAAAGATTCTTCAAACCTGAGAAGTTCCCAATGCTGGCTGGGAGATTACCATAGAAGTGATTATTTGCAAGATTTAGTCCTTCCAGCTTAGGAGATGCTGTGGTTTTCTCAAAGGCAATTCTGCTTGTGAAGTTATTATCTTGAAGTTCAACAAGTGTGAGCTCTGGCAAGTACAGAAATCCATTCGGTATTGGCCCGCTGAAGTAGTTCTGCCCCAATCTGACCCTAGACAGTGTTTGACACTGACCAAGATCATCAGGCAATGTCCCAAACAGAGAATTATCCAACAAAATCAAGATTTCCAGTTTCTTCCCATGACACAGGGATTTCGGTATTTCTCCAGTTAGTTTATTGGTGGAGAGGTCTAGTTCGATGAGCTTCCCATTCTTCCCCAGGCTCCCAGGTATGGAACCAGTGAAGTTATTTCGCCAAAGATTCAATGACTGTAGATTGGATAGCTCTGCAATAAACCCAGGGATTTCCCCATGAAGATTGTTGATGAAAAGGTTCAAGATTTCAAGTTCTTGTAGTGAAGAGAACTCGAATGGGATCTCTCCAGTTAATGCATTGCTCGAAATATCAAGCGCCTTCAAGCTCACTAGATTTCCTAATTCTGGAGGAATGGAACCAGCTAGCTGATTGATTTGCAAGAAAAGCGTGTCTAGATTCTTGAGATTCCCGAGCTGAGCTGGAATTGGACCTTTCAAGCCACAGCTTGAAAGGTCCAAATGAGTCAAGTTTATAAGCTTGCCAAACTCCACAGGAATTTCCCCATCAAACTGATTGAAATAGCCCAAGTAAAGCCTTTTAAGGTTATACAGATCCCCAAGCTCCCCTGGGATGACCCCCTCCAAGTCATTCCCTGAAAGGGAGAGAAAACTGAGGTTCTTTAAACCTCCATAGCTCGGCGGGATTGTTCCCGAAAAGTAGTTCCCGCCTAAATCCAAATGCTTAAGATTTTTAAGCTGAGTAACCCCAATGGGAAGAGGGCATGTGAAATTGTTGTCATAAAAATCCAACACTTCAAGCTGTGGCAGACTAGAGAAGTTCAAGCTGGGACATCCACTGAACAGATTGCCTGATATGTTTAGGAGCCTGAGAGCATGAAGCTGAGATATAGCAGGTGGGAGAGGACCAGAGAGGTTTAAGTTGGAAATATCCAGGGACACCACTGATTTGTTGTACCCATCACAAGTCACTCCTCCCCAGTTACTGCATAGCTGGTTGAAGTTGGAGAGGTTCCAGCTTGAAAGAGAAAGATTGTCTTGGGACTGGACATTCTGTTTTATAGAAACCAGAATGGCTGCTTGTCTTTTGACAGAGATAGAATGAACATGATGAGCTGATAGAAAAGTGAGGAAAACCAGAAAGAGGGAATGCATGAAGAAGAGATGCATACTTAGAGGAGGGAACATCAACATGTGGGAAGTTCAAAACTCAAAATTGCATTGAACTCATCTGATTGATAGCAAGAATCATGTTAGTACTGAAAAGCTAAGGCCTTTCACTATCTTTATTTGCAACAATATTATTATGTTTGGAATATTTTATATATGACCAGCAAAAGAAAAACAATGTAAAATACTAAATCATAAAGAACCATGCAGGATCCCAACCAGATTGATTCTGGAAGGAAAGAGCCTCAATGATCAATTTCCCACTTTTGATCTTAAATACTGATATGCCCCTTAAATTCTTGATGATTATTTTTCTTTCTGTGGAAAAGAATGACTGGAGAACTTTAAAGTAGTAAAGTGCATGTATGAATAGTATATGTCTATATTTTATGAACTTTGATTCTGCTTTATTCCTTTATTTAAAGCTGGGGACTAAGACGTTGGGTGATCCATGTTTGCTTTCTTTATAGGACCGCTTGAAAACTACTTGCAAGAAGCATTGGATCACACTTTAGACCACTTAAAGAAAAAGAAAAAGAAAAAGATAAAGCAAGTCGTACCCTCATTTCCTTTTTTGAATGTAAAATCATTAGAGATGAGATTGAGAAATTAAGAGGGTGTTATATGGACTTTGATCTGGTTTAGGAAGACTGGCGGCTGATCTTAAAGAAACATCAAGTAAATTGATGAAGTCAAGCGTTCATGTCAATCGGGTAAATATCATTCTTAGAACAGAGTGCTCATAAAGCAATGCAAATAATTTACATACTGCGTCTAATTTAAAATAAATTAACATGATCATACTAGACATAAAATTAATGGGGTACTTAATAAAAAAAATTAGAAACGGGTCATAAGTATACCTAGGCTATGTTTGGCGGACTTAAGTCCCCGACTTCTAGCTTTTGTACTGTTCAAAAAGTTTCTAAAAGCTTCTAGTTGTGTGTTTGGCATGCCAATATTTAAGAGCTTTTAAAAAATTAAAAGATCTTTTTTGAGATGCTACCGGGAGTAGCATCTAAGAAAAGCTCGTGACTTTTAATATAAATTAATCCTAACAGCTTGTATACCAAACCGAACTAAATCAAATAGTCAGCTTTTTATCAAACAGCTACTACATTTTCTTTTTAAGATCTTTTCAGTCACTAAAAGCTAACAGCTATTAAAAAGCTCACAAAAGTATCTTTTCAGCTAGTTGTGCCAAACATGCCCCTATATTTTTGTTCGACTTTTAATTTAGCAGTGCTTATATACGTAGTATTTACGACTACATGTTCCTTTAATTTAAAGCTCATTCGGTGACCTTGTTTTTTGGTTTATCAGGCTTATCAGACAACTTTTTTCACCAAATAAATAATTTTAGATTTCGCACGATGAATTGTGCAAGGTTGAAGTTACTTTTCTAGCTGTATTGGCTGAAGTTACTGTAGGGGAAGGTTTTAACTATTTTTCCATATATTGTTTTTTTTTCATTTTATTAATAATATTGTTGGGATATATCATCCCGGCCTATTACTGTTCATGAGTCCAAGGCTTTACGTAGTACGGGGCCCGAGCAGCTAGGCCCTTTTCGGCCCATCCGGCCCGCTTTAGCCATTTGGGCCCACTCTGGCCCGTTTGGCCCATTAGGGTGGAGAGCCCCTTCTCCCCTTCCCCTATTTATAGGAGGCTTCCCTCCATGTTTTAGGGATCCTCTTTTAGCTCCACCTCCCTCATTCTTTTAGACTTAGCTCAATACTCCATTAATGGGAGCTTGTACAATGTAATTGTGAGGAGAGTCCCAATGAGAAAGAGAGGGCTTGGACATTAGCCTAAAAAGTCCCGTGGTTTTCTCCCTTTCGGGTTTCCACGTAAAAACTGAGTTGTTCATACACATTTATACATATATTTACTATATCGTGTTGGATTAAACTCAACACTGGCGCCGTCTGTGGGAATCTGTCCAAAAAGATTATGTGTTCTACGCAAAATTGATACGAAATGCACTGATTTCAACAAAAAAAAAGGTCTGGAAACACCCAGATCTAGAAACAATCGGAAGAAGCAACCATAGCCAACCCATCCCGGTGGCGACGCTGCACCGAGCCGGAGGTAGAATGCGAACTCCGACCTACCTCGAACGTCATCACCCCAGATGCGGCTTTTTCATCAAGCCGGAGCACCGGCGGACGTCGTAGCAATGGACTCATCCACCTTGTCGGTTAGTATGGCTTTTCTCTGCTTCTGCTACGGCTCAACCTCGAGCCAGGTGAGTCTCTGCCATTAATGGCGGTTGGGAGCTCAGGAAAGTGTGTATTTTGGAGTGTAGCCGACTATCTATCGGAGATTACCCTCTCTGGCCGTTCCAGACGTGGCGACCTCCTTGACCACCGCCAGTAGGCGACCAAACCGCGGCTGGCCAGCGGAAATAACGCCGGTTGTCTTACTTCAATCTTTCCGAAAGATACTCTGTATCTGGCTCCTTGGCTCATAGAGGGCCACGTCTGGGAAGATGAAGACAGCCTGTTATGTCCTTGGTTGGAGGGATGAGGCCCTTTCAAATTTGAGGCCTGCTAGGGGTACACACTTTTTGTACACAAAAAGTGTACACTCGTCTGTCCCCCACAGACAAATTGTCTGTCGCGAGATGAGTTGTCTGTCTCACAGACAACTCATCTCGCGACAGACAATTTGTCTGTGGGGGACAGACGAGTGTACACTTTTTGTGTACAAAAAGTGTGTACCCCTATCTTTTTTCTTCAAATTTTGAGCGGTCAACCAGCCTCCAACACCCCTTGGCAGAAGATTTTGACTGCAAAAGCTAAGTATCATACCATTCATACGAACTCCCTACTTTACAGATTAAAGGATTATTTGGAATAATGATGTCAGAAACTTAGATTCCTATTATTGTTTTGTTGGAATTTTTATCACCATTATTTATTAGGGACTAAAATATCCCGCAATTAAATAATGTCGAACAACGCTCAAATGAGTAAAGCTCCAGTGATAATTAATTTCACCGTCATTAAAATTAATGACTGTTGTTGTGGGCCTGTCGGCCCGCTCCCAATTGGCTTTAATTAGCAAACGCAGCATATCTGAATAGCCTATGGTAGGATAATAATATTATTACTACCCGTACATCACTCTTAATTATTAGGGATTAAAACTCCCGAAATTAAATAATGAGAGCGATGCTCTAAGTGATAATTTGTTTCACCGTCATTTAAATTTAATGACTGGTTGTTGTGAGCCTCTGGGCCCGCTCCTGATCGGCTTTAATTAGCGAGCGGAGCGTATCTGAATGACCTTTGATAGGAAAATATCATTGCTATTACCTGTTTAATCACTATTATTTATTGAGGATAAAAATGTCCCGAATTAAATAATGTGGAGCGAAGCTCTAGTGATGGTTGGTTTAGCCAACATTTTATTAAATATTTAATTTCTTGTGGGCCTGTCGGCCCACTCTTGATCAGCTTGATTAAGTGATCCGAGCGTCTCCAGAAGGGCGGCGCCCCGACGACGCATTTTAATTTGAGGGTTACGCAATAGTCCGCACGGCACTACGTGCCCGATCGACAATCATACCCCAGTATCATTTACGCCATTAAGCGAAATGACTATTGCCAAACGTGGCCTGTGGGGCCCGAAGGCACCAAAGCACCCAACCTCCTTTTTCTGAGGTCAGTGCGACCAACTTGGGTCTGAGTTTGAAAACTCACGGACCGATGAATATCTCTATGTGACGTTCGGCGGGCTGCCAGTTGGCCCCGCCGCGAGCTGCTACATCCATTAGTCCCGCACGATGAGCCGGGCCGAGGGTCACGATGACCCATAGGCCGGTATTCGTGGATGTTAAAGAGGAAGCCATGCAGATGGTTATGTGTGCATATTTATTGTTGGGCCATGTGGCCGTTACCATGCTTATTGCGCAGCTGAAATCACTCGACGCGCTCGAGTGAAATGATTAAAAGACGCTCGGCCCGAGTCTTGAAGACGTTCAGGGCCAGCTAAAGAGGAGACCATCACGGCGGAGGACCGTGAGACGAGCATCTCCACCCCAGAGACCGATGGCCTAGGAGAGAACACCTAGAGGCCGAGGGTCTATAGTGGACTACCACGGCGGAGGACCGTGAGACGAGCATCTCCACCCCAGAGACCGATGTCCTAGGAGAGAACACCTAGAGGCCGAGGACTATAGTGGACTACCACGGCGGAGGACCGTGAGACGATCATCCATCATTCAGAGGCCGAGGGCCTAGAGGAGACCATCACGGCCGAGGGCCGTGAGACCATCCTGATTTTCAGGTCGGCCTCTCATCGCCGACATTATCATACCACGACCGGCCCCTCGGCTCGGCGTGTTCATCTTTTGAAGACCGGCCTCGTCCCCGCGCTGCGCGGATGAGGACCGTTGCTTGGTTCTTTCATGTCGGCCTCTCATTGCCGACACCGTCGTACCACGACCGGCCTCTCGGCTTGGCGTGCCTATCTTTTGAAGACCGGCCTCGTCCCCGCACTGCGCCGATGAGAGCCGTTGCTGGATTGCAGGTCGACCCTCATTGCCGACACTGCCACATCATGTTCGGCCTCTCATCGCCGACATCATTATATCACAACCGGCCTCTCGGACCGGCGTGATTACCATATTCGAAGACCGGCCTCGTCCCCGCCACCTCGCGGACGAGGACCGTTGCTTGACCATATCTTGATCGGCATCTCATTGCCGACATTATCATACCACGACCGGCCCCTCGGCTCGGCGTGTTCATATTTGAAGACCGGCCTCGTCCCCGCACTGCGCGGATGAGGACCGTTGCTTGTTTTCTCAGATCGGCCTCTCATTGCCGATATCGTCATATCACGACCGGCCTCTCGGCATGGCGTGATTATCATATTTGAAGACCGGCCTCGTCCCCGCCCTCGCGGACGAGGACCGTGCCTGTTTTTCTCAGATCGGCCGCTCATTGCCGACACCATTATACCACGACCGGCCTCTCGGCTCGGCGTGCTTATCTTTTGAAGACCGGCCTCGTCCTCTCCCTCGCGGACGAGGGCCGTTGCTTGATTTTCTCAGATCGGCCGCTCATTGCCGACACCATTATACTACGACCGGCCTCTCGGCTCGGCGTGCTTATCTCTTGAAGACCGGCCTCGTCCCCGCCACCCCGCGGACGGGGACCGTTGTTTGATTCTTTCGGGTCGGCCTCTCACTGCCGACACTATCATGTTATGTTCGGCCTCTCGGCACAACATATTTATCTTTTGAAGACCGGTTTCATCCCCGCGCTGCGTTGGATGTTAGCCGTTGCTCGGATATATCGGCCTGACTGGACACTATTGCCATCTCCGTTATCAGGACCGACTGCTCAGCGATATTATGATCATTGTATATCGGCTCCCAATGCCGACCTTCTTGAGTCAGCGATCGGGCTCACCCCTCCCCTCCAGGAGGGTGACCATCGCCTTCGCATGACGACCAGCTATTCCGTCGCCTCGTCATTTTATTCGTTTTGGTATGCCACCACCATTATGTGTGACATCCCGTGATCCCTGCGAGTTTCTTGGATACCGAATGTCTTCTTCGATGTAGGAAGATCGGTAGGACCACGGACCAGGGACGGACGAACGAAGCACCAGGGAATCTCGATGCAGATAAACCTGTTCCTCCTTGCGATGTCTGCGGATACCGAACGTCTCCTCGAAGTAAGGACGCCGGTAGGACCAAGGACCAGGGACGAACGAAGCACCAGGGAATCTCGATGCAGATAAACCTGTTCCTCCTTGCGATGTCTGCGGATACCGAACGTCTCCTCGAAGTAAGGACGCCGGTAGGACCAAGGACCAGGGACGAACGAAGCACCAGGGAATCTCGATGCAGATAAACCTGTTCCTCATTGAGATGTCCGCGGATACCGAACGTCTCCTCGAAGTAGGAACGCCGGTAGGACCAAGGACCAATGACGAACGAAGAGTATAGATTGCCTCCCTCAAACAAAAAAAAAAAAAAGAAAAAGAAAAAAGATGGGGAGAAGAGGAGGGTAGCTCCTATGTGGAAGGGAATCTTGCCCGGGTGTGCCAGATCTTCTCCCACCGCCGAAGACGAACGCCTCTCGATGTAGAGGTTAGTAGAGACGCGGAGGGGGCTAGACGAACCAAGGGAGCCTTGCCAAGATAAACCTGTTCATCCCACAATGACCATGGATCGATGGACGTGGGATAACAAAGACGGGAACCCGTGAGGGTAAACCAGTTCGTCCCTGCGAGTTCCTTGGGTACCGAACGTCTTCTTCGATGCAAGAGACGCCGGTAAGACTAAAAGGACCAGGGACAAACGAAAAAGGAGGGAATCTCGATGTAGATATACCTGTTCCTCATTGCGATGTCCGCGGATACCGAACGTATCTTCGATGTAAGAACGCCGGTAGGACCAAGGACCAATGACGAACGAAGACTAAAAGACTCCAAAAAAAAAAAAAAAAAAAAAAAAAAAAAAAAAATATGCCAGAAGAGCACGGAGCAAAGAATGATTTTATCCCTCGGCGCTATTGGCCGGGAAGTACAAACTGAAAAACATATGTAAAGAATAATTACAAAACTTAAGTGCGAAGAATGAGGTGGCCGACGACGATCGGCTAACATCAGGCTTTCTTTTGCCTCAAACGACGATTAGCTCCCCAGATCAGGTAGAAGGGACATCGCCCAGATTTATTTCAGGCTCACCATTCCTTCCCGGATGGAGTCCTGGCAGACGATCGGCTTCTCACAGCCAATCAGGAGAGAGACTTGACACATCACCAGCACGGCCGAGGGCCGTGGGACGATTACCACTCACCGACAGGCCGAGGGCCATGAGATGATCATCACTATTTTTCTGTATCACGATCGGCCCCCTCAGCGCCATCGTGTCCAGACTCACGGTTCGGCTCGCCCATTCCCTTCCAGGATGGCGACGACCGTCTTATGCAGTACGATCGGCCCCTCAGCGCCATCGTACCCAGCTCACGTTCAGCTCGTCCATCCCTTCCAGGGTGGCGACGAACGTCTTATGCATCACGATCGGCCCCTCAGCGCCATCGTGTCCAGACTCACGGTTCGCCTTGCCCATTCCCTCCAGGATGGCGACGACCGTCTTACGCAGTGCGATCGGCCCCTCAGCGCCATCGTACCTGGCTTCACGGTTCGGCTCGCCCATTCCCTCCAGGATGGCGACGACCGTCTTATGTAGCACGATCGGCTTCTCAGCGCCATCGTGTCTCGTTCACGTTCGGATCGCCCCATTCCCTTCCAGGATGGCGACGAACGTCTTATGCAGTGCGATCGGCCCCTCAGCGCCATCGTACCTGGCTTCACGGTTCGGCTCGCCCATTCCCTCCAGGATGGCGACGACCGTCTTATGTAGCACGATCGGCTTCTCAGCGCCATCGTGTCTCGTTCACGTTCGGATCGCCCCATTCCCTTCCAGGATGGCGACGAACGTCTTATGCAGTGCGATCGGCCCCTCAGCGCCATCGTACTTGGCTTCACGGTTCGGCTCGCCCATTCCCTCCAGGATGGCGACGACCGTCTTATGTAGCACGATCGGCTTCTCAGCGCCATCGTGTCTCGTTCACGTTCGGATCGCCCCATTCCCTTCCAGGATGGCGACGAACGTCTTATGCAGTGCGATCGGCCCCTCAGCGCCATCGTACTTGGCTTCACGGTTCGGCTCGCCCATTCCCTCCAGGATGGCGACGACCGTCTTATGCAGCACGATCGGCTTCTCAGCGCCATCGTGTCTCTTTCACGTTCGGATCGCGCATCTCTTCCAGGATGGCGACGGACGTCTTATGCGGTACGATCGGCCCCTCAGCGCCATCGTACCTGGCTTCACGGTTCGGCTCGCTCATTCCCTCCAGGATGGCGACGACCGTCTTATGTAGCACGATCGGCTTCTCAGCGCCATCGTGTCTCGTTCACGTTCGGATCGCCCCATTCTCTTCCAGGATGGCGACGGACGTCTTATGCGGTACGATCGGCCCCTCAGCGCCATCGTACCTGGCTTCACGGTTCGGCTCGCCCATTCCCTCCAGGATGGCGACGACCGTCTTATGCAGCACGATCGGCTTCTCAGCGCCATCGTGTCTCTTTCACGTTCGGATCGCGCATCTCTTCCAGGATGGCGACGGACGTCTTATGCGGTACGATCGGCCCCTCAGCGCCATCGTACCTGGATTCACGGTTCGGCTCGCCCATTCCCTCCAGGATGGCGACGACCGTCTTATGCAGCACGATCGGCTTCTCAGCGCCATCGTGTCTCTTTCACGTTCGGATCGCGCATCTCTTCCAGGATGGCGACAGACGTCTTATGCGGTACGATCGGCCCCTCAGCGCCATCGTGTCCTGGATTCACGGTTCGGCTCGCCCATTCCCTCCAGGATGGCGACGACCGTCTTATGCAGCACGATCAGCGCCCCAGCGCCATCGTGCCTGGCTCACGTTAGGGTCGCCCATCCCTTTCAGGATGGCGACGAACGTCTCTTATGCATCACGATCAGCGCCCCAGCGCCATCGTGCCTGGCTCACGTTAGGGTCGCCCATCCCTTTCAGGATGGCGACGAACGTCTCTTATGCAGCACGATCAGCGCCCCAGCGCCATCGTGCCTGGCTCACGTTAGGGTCGCCCATCCCTTTCAGGATGGCGACGAACGTCTCTTATGCATCACGATCAGCGCCCCAGCGCCATCGTGCCTGGCTCACGTTAGGGTCGCCCATCCCTTTCAGGATGGCGACGAACGTCTCTTATGCAGCACGATTAGCGCCCCAGCGCCATCGTGTCTGGCTCACGTTAGGGTCGCCCATCCCTTTCAGGATGGCGGCGAACGTCTCTTATGCAGCACGTCTGCCCCTCGGCGCTGACATGCCCGGGTTATCGTTGAGAGCTACCGCTCCTATCACATCTTGCATTCCCTCTCTCATACATTGCACCCATACATTACATGCATTCATGCATCATACCTCATACATTCATACATACACACGTGCATCATGTTTTGACAGTACCGCGACGTCGGTTTATAGATGCATGGACCTCTAAGCTTCTCCGATTGGAAAGCTCGAGTCAGAGTCCTTTACTCCCGCCTGATGCATTCAGGGGCAGTGTGCCCGTGGAGGAGCACCCTTCGCCCGACCCTGTCGGGAAGGGGGGTGCCTCACTGGTAGATTACGTTCAGGAGTGCAGACACTCACTCATATATGATGATTATGTGAAGACACAGTTTCCAGCAAGACAGAGGAAGAGCGCAGGCAGAGTATATTTTCTCGAGCAGATTCGCGAGCTCACTACTCAAGAAACTGGGGGACTTGTGTTGGGATATATCATCCCGGCCTATTACTGTTCATGAGTCCAAGGCTTTACGTAGTACGGGGCCCGAGCAGCTAGGCCCTTTTCGGCCCATCCGGCCCGCTTTAGCCATTTGGGCCCACTCTGGCCCGTTTGGCCCATTAGGGTGGAGAGCCCCTTCTCCCCTTCCCCTATTTATAGGAGGCTTCCCTCCATGTTTTAGGGATCCTCTTTTAGCTCCACCTCCCTCATTCTTTTAGACTTAGCTCAATACTCCATTAATGGGAGCTTGTACAATGTAATTGTGAGGAGAGTCCCAATGAGAAAGAGAGGGCTTGGACATTAGCCTAAAAAGTCCCGTGGTTTTCTCCCTTTCGGGTTTCCACGTAAAAACTGAGTTGTTCATACACATTTATACATATATTTACTATATCGTGTTGGATTAAACTCAACAAATATATATTTTAAATACAATTTTTTCATAAATCAGCAGAATCGGGTAATCCAACTACTTCAATTACAACTTTATAAATTTTAGCAGAATCAGTCAATACAGTCAATTTGAGTATTATCAAACGGGCTCTTATACTCCGTATAATTTTTGTATGTGTTGTTGGAAAAATGTGTGAAAAATTGCATTAAATGGTAATTTTGAGGCAATTTTTTGAGTGGAGTCCACTTCCGATTTGGGTCGGGTCAAAGTGGTTTCGGATTGACCTTGTTAAGGGCTACAATTCGATATATGGTACGCTCAAAACGGATAACGGGTGAATGAGAAATCGCTTTTCGAAGTTTACCCGTTAGAATGGAAAAACTGGGAAAAAGGATGGGTTTCTAGTGTGTTAATTAGGGATGGCAATTTAGCCCGACCCGACGGATACCCGCACCGAACCGAACCGGTCAAAATGGGGAAAATTGCTTTGACTGGGTAACGGGTACGGGGCGGGGAATACCCGATTTATGTAAACGGGTAATGGGGCGGTTATGGGTTTATACCTACCCGCCCCGTTACCCGTCCCATTACCCGCCCCGTTTAATTTGGATACGGTTACCCGCACCATTGCCCGACCCGCACAATTAACTTATATATTTTAATAGTTTATGTATTTATTATTTAATATATTAAGTATATATGAGTAGTAGTACATTAGTATATGACACTTATTCCCTCTAATACTTTAAAACAATATTCAACTTATTGGCTATCCTTTGCAATTATGAGGAGTTGGTGCTCAAAGTTCACGTTTTTAGATTTTGAATTTTCAATATCATCCATCATCCTTCCTTTGTTAACTTCTACAAGATTTATTTTCTTCACACATTGATTATTTGATTTTCGTGATTTTCTCTACGCAATTTTCACATTGTGACTCTTTTAATTTTTCACCAAATAACTTTCATAAAAATCACGTATGAGTTTAAAGTCCAAATATTTTAGATTACTCTACCTTGCTTTAATTTATGTAATTGCTAATAATTTTGTAGAGGTGTATGGATGATTAAATTAATTTTGATTGGTTGCTATAAATTATATCAAGCTTTAAATTTTAAATTATGATTTTGTGGTACTATTTGATTTTGTTTTTTAACTCTATTTAACTCTATCTGTGGTACTATTTTTTTTTTTAATTTAGGTGGTTAATGATAAGTAGTTAATCATCATTTTAGGATTTATACTAATTTTGAAGGGAAAAAAAATATTTTTTAATAAAACGGTTACCCGCGGGGAAACCGTTACCCGCGGGGAAAACCGTTACCCGCGGGTAAAAAATACCCGACGGGTAACGGGGCGGTTTCGGGGAATTTTTTTATCAAACGGGGCGGGTACGGGTAATGGTATACCCGTCCCCGAACCGCCCCGTTGCCATCCCTAGTGTTAATTTCCCACACCGGAAAACCCAAGGGATTTGCAACCCTTTATAAAGGGACTCCCCCCTTATGGAGTTAAGATTCCTAAGGGTAGAGGCTCTCTCCACGCGCGCAGGGGGGTGCAAATCAAATCCCGAAATCGGAGAAGAAAAACCGCGACGTGCGCGGGCGACCTGCGGACACGAATGTCGTCCAAAATGTTTAATTTTTGTTTTCTTCCCGAAACATTTATTTTTTCCCAGTGACAGAAGTTCCTAGCGGCAGAGACGCTCGGTATGGTGTTCTGGTGGCTCCGGATAGAAACCCTCGACCAGAACACCTCAGTATGGTGTTCTGGTGGCTCCGGGCAGAAGCTCTCTTAGGGGTTCTGCTGGCTTCGGACAGAACACCTCGTAAGGTGTTCTGTTGGGAGGTCTTCTGGTCGCGCATCTGAACCGTTACAACAATAAATGCCCAACGTTCTTATCTTTTAATGCAGCGTTAAATTGACAGTTCATGGACGATTCAATGCCCAACGGACTGGTCATTGATGTCCAACGTTCAGGTCCATTAATTCACCATTTGCACACAACAAATCCTCCTATATAAAGGCTGGCAGGTGGTTTGCAACAACACACGTTCATACACGAGCTCACGTATTTCTTCAGCTAAAAACACCTCCAGTCTCTCTGAAAAATTCCTGAGTGTTCAGACTTGTTCTCGTTTGCTGGAACTTTTGTTTGTGTGCTCAAACATTAGTTCGTAGTCATCGTATCCTGGGAAACGATTGCTGCAACGCTCCTAGCACCGTGGGAGGCAACAAATACGTTTTAAGGACATCGTGCGTAGCACGAGCTTTGACTAATTCTGTTTCATCTCCTTACTTGTTTTTCGCTAGTCATTTTATTTAATTAATTTTCTTTATTTTTCGAAACACACCCAACATGTATAAATACTGCGTACATGTTAGTAATAACCATCTAGTCACATTCATGGGTATTTATTTTCAAATCATATTTTTGCTCTTTGAATACTAATGGTAACATTCATAAAAAGTACCTAAAAATGGAGTTTATCATACTTACAGTATATCGATCCGTGAAAGTGCCCAGATGGATATGTTATACGGAGTGGGAAAAGCGCCAACATTTCATTGTATGAATTTGTTTAATTAACATGGGATATTGGGATGGGCTATTTATGTTCTTTATTGATCGAGTTCGTCAATAATCATAGAGGATATCTCATCCCTCATAGCATCCACAATGCAACACTTTAGTCTAAATTAAATTATGTCAAATTATTAAAAGGCTTTCTATTACACATAATAAATAGTGGAGTGATGGGACATTAACATACAGAGCAAGTCTCCAATGCATAATGTCTCAAAATCCAAGTTAAATGTTCATATGGAATTTAATTAACAATAATTCATTTTTTATTAAAATATTACCCTATAAACCCTCTATCGTAAAATATTTATAGGGAGGTGATATATATGGGCCAGATGGCCAGTGCGTTTTTGCAGGGATCCCAAGAATTATGCTCATATACGTTTATAATACACAATGTTTTTTATAGAAAGAAAATGTCTTGCTTTGTGTGAGCCACCAAGCCACTATGACTTTATGCCTTTCTACACATAGACATCAACCTCCACACCGTCTCACTTTTTTTGCCATGTCAACTGGACTTCTTACGGTTGGAGCACAAATTAATTAGTCTAAGTCTAATTTAGGAAAAATTGATAGTAATAATCCCAACTATTGGCGGTCCGCTCATAATAATCCCAACTTTTGATTATTACAGAATAATCCCAACTTTAGGAACCTTCCGCCAATAATGGTCCCTATGAATAAATTCTTGTAGTTTCTAAAGTGGATGAGATGAGATATAACAAGTAATCCCTATAAATAATCTCAACTTTTAATTTTTACGCTTAATTTCTATTTAAAATTCACTTTTTATAGAGGTAATATATGGTCATGGATTATTATTGGCAGATAATCTATATAGTTGGGATTATATAAAAATAATCAATAGTTGAGATTATTTTCAGCGGACCAGCAATAGTTGGGATTATTATTTTCAATTTTTCCTCTAATTTAATGATATGTCACACTTTATCTAGACTAGACATGAATGCATTATGGATGCTCTGAGTGATCTCTGAATCGACCGAACAATCATGCACAAGAATATAAATTGAACTGTGTTCACACACTGATGGATAGACAATGAGGTTCCGGCCCATATGTTTTTGTTTGAGTTGGAACCAGGGCTTTTCTCTTGTGACTATCTTCTAACACGATGAACTATATCCCTCGACAGGGCCGGTTCTGGGGGGAGGGCAACAGGGGCGACCGCCCTAGGCCCGAAAAATATAGAAGAAGAAATAGGCCCAAAATCTTTTCTTTGTATATTGTGTGAGTAGGCTTCTTCTTTTATTCTTAAGGTCAATTAATTAGTCCCAATGTTTAATTTTATTGAAAATTTGAAAATTTAAAACATATACAAATTTTTTAAACAAAGCCAAGTTTTATACCGTCAATAATTATAACTCGTCTTGAAATCCTTTACTATCGCCTTGATTTTAGACCCGTCAAGGTTACAAGAGGGGAGTTTTCCTAATTGGATTGTGTGGTAATAGTAAGGGAAATTTGTTGATTCAGTCCCATAACTTATAGCTATATCCGATATTGGTCCTGTAACTTTATTAACTTGCAATTTACATCCCGTAACTAATAAGTTGGTGCAATTTTGGTCCTTCTCTGCCGGAACTTATCAATTTCGTCAGAAAAAGACACATCACCTGCCACATGGTATATTATTTGGAACTCATTTGCTGACTCAATATTGGCTCTTAGGTGGAGTTAAAAAACCAGAGTACGAAAGCTCTTCGCTAAGTGCGTGCACAACCATACCAAGCCTATTATCGGATCTGCAAAAGGGGGAAGAACATATAACTCTACCTGAAGATTTCTCCTGAACTAAGTCGAGAGAGTGAGTTATTCTTCAAATCTGCTAGTAACGGCTCTCGATCAAACAAAAGTGTATGGAGTGTGATTGTGGTAAAAAGGTTTCTCTTCTAACTTCTTGGACTATAACGATCCTGGAAGGATGTTTCGTGTGTGCGCTAGAAGTAGAGTAAGAAGTTCAGCTTTTTAATTTACATTGTTTGCTTCTTTTTTTACTAAATAAACTAGAAATTTAAGAATAGCATTTGAATAATAAATTTGTTTGAAAATTAAAATGTATTTTATAATTTAAGCTAGGTTCTGCTAATAAAATTACCATATTCTATTTGTTGGGGGAATTTGATAATGTATTTTTGTGTTCAAAACAGTAAAAAGTAAGTTAAGCTTCATCTTAATTGTTTTGATACAGACAGAAGGTTGTAGATTTTTTGAATGGGCGGACCCACCTATGTCCCATCGTTGAACGATGATAATTCCGGGATTGGTTAGAAGACTCAATTCAAAAGAGGAAGAGGTTGTAAAGTTGAAGGCTAAAAATAAAAGGCTCCTCATAGTTACGGGATGTAATCTGCAAGTTAA